TTTTTAAATCATCTTGGGTACTAAATGGTCACAGAGACAAAACAGAATATGAAGAGACTTGCAGGTGGATTACAGGGTATGTGAATCCTCTAGTTCTGTTCTAACAGGAATACTGCAAGTAGATGGATTTAACAAACAGGGATTTATTCACTTACAGTTTTGGAGGCTAGAAGGCTGAGCCAATTCTAGGGGTTGGGTGAGGGTTCTTTGACCTTGGGCTTCAGCTCTGCTTCTTGCTTCCTGCCCACTGGAACAGGAGGTTTCTCTTAACTCAGGTAGCTGTGAATGTTGAAGCTTACAAACACAAGTTGATAAATAAAAGGCACAGTACAAAGATTACCAAACAACACAGCAGGTCACTAGTTCTAGTCCAGAAACAGTGTCAAGATTGGTAGACAACATGGCAGGCCACTCACTGAAGACTCAGCCATATGCAGGATTTAAATGTGCCAAGGAGCTCAGACACCTTCCTCAAAGCATCTTCATATATACTACAAGCAGACTTCATCCCTAAAGTAGCTACTCAGATCCTCACAGTAGATTCCATCTTGGAGTTGATTACCAGTCTCATCATGGGAAGTAACTACAGCCAACCACCCAGCCACTCAAAATCAGGCCCAGCTAGGTTGACACAAAATCTTAACTACCACATAGGGGTCAGCTGATTACAACCTGAGAGTGGGTCCAATCCAGCCTGCCACAACTATTTGTTTAGTAACTTTCTATGGCTGTTTTTGTGTTACAAGGGCAGAGTAGAATATTGTCTAAAAATATCTGTTGCCATTAGGTTGATTCTGATTCATAGCAAAACTATAGCACAGAGTAGAACTGCCCAATAGTGTTTCCAAGACTAATCTTTACAGAAGCAGACTGCCACATCTTTCTCCTGGAACAGCTGGTGGGTTTGAACTGCCATTTTGGTTAGCATCTGAGCACTGAACCATGGAGACACCAGGGACTCTTGGAGTAGTATTAAAAGAGGTAAAGATTCATAAAGCAAATGTATTCATTACCTTTTACAGGAAAAGTTTGCAAACTACTAATATAAGAGATAACAGTGGAAGGATTTTGTAGTTATATGGCATGGTAACTGCAGAATGAGGCATACTCACAAAAGCCTAAACAGAGAAGCCAACCTTTGACCTGAGTGGTACGTGTGACATACATAGGTAGGTTCAGTGAAGAGGACATTATAAGCTGAAGCAACAACTGTAGCAGCATTTTCAGAAGACAGAAGTTTGAAACCTGAGGGTGTGTGTTAGGTACTGCCAGGCCTTCCAAAGCTGGCAGAGTTGTGAGTGGAGGTGGAGCAGCAGAAAAGGACACCAAGGGAGAAGTCTGGAGAAGGGGTAAGGGTTGGTAAGGAATGCTAATACATTACACGAAGGAAATGAATTTTATCCTGGATCTGGTGTCAAACCATTGAATGGTTTTAACAGAAGGGATCCTTAACCAGATTTCTTATTCTCATTTCTTGTGGATTGCAAATTATACTTAGCAGATTAAAAACATGATCATACATGTGAAGGAATGAACTCTGAATGCTTTTTAGACTGTTACTTCTTTTCATGTTAGGCAGTGCTCCTATTATAACTTTATAACAGAATGTTCATGCCATCAAACTTCACAGAGCCTTTTTTTTTTTTTTTTAATTCTTTAGAGTCTAGTATCCACAAATCAAATAAGGGCATTGTTGTTAGAGAAACTCAGGCCTAGAACCATTGTCAATGTCCTCCCTTCCCCCCCCCCCATGTGAGAGAAGATGTTAAAGTCTCAAAGGATTTCAGAACCTCCTGAACTTGACCATTTACCAACCCCACCATCGAGACATGTAGGCATGGAGATTGAGCTTCTCCATTCCTTCTTGCCACAGATATAGTCAATCTGATTCCTGTGTACTCCATCAGGTGAAGTTCACATGTATAGCCACATTTTGTGTTGTTGAAAAAAAGGTGTTTGGAATGAATAAGTCATTGGTCTTGCAAAATTCTATCATGTGATCTCCAGCATTATTTCTATCTCCAAAGCCAAATGTTCCACCTACTGTTTTCAGCAGCCTGAACAGGAAAGGCAGGAGGACAGCCCCCAGGCAGCAGGAAGCAGCAGCATACAGGACCAGCAGCTGGAACAAGTAGGGGGAAGCCCAGGAATTGACTAGAACAGTTGAAACAGCTAAGGGAGATGAACTTGTCTGTTGGTTTGCAATACTGTGGTGGCTTTCATGTTGCTTTGAGGCTGGAGGTTGTGCCAGCAGGAGTGCCCATGGTGGACCAGTGTTGGTACTCCACCAACTCCAGACTGAGACAGACTCAGAAGAAGGAAGAGGCCATCCACTTCTTAAAGAATTGGCCAGTGAAAACCTTATGAATAGTAGTGAAACACTGTCTGATATATTACTGGAAAATTTTATGAATAGTCCTGAAATATTGTCTGATACAGAGCTGGGAGATGAGCCCTTCAGGTCAGAAGGCACTCAAATTATAACTGGAAAAGAGCTGCCTCATCAGAGTAGAGCCTACCTTAATGATAGGGATAAAGAAGAGCTTTCTGGACATCCATTTGTTGAAGTTGTATGACTCAATATGAGAAGAAACAGCTGCAAACATCCATTGATAATCTGAACATGGAATGTATGAAGTATGAATCTAGGAAAATTGGAAGTCATCAAAAATGAAATGATACACATAAAGATTGTTATCCTAGGAATCAGTGAGCTGAAATGGACCAGTTTTGGCCATTTTGAATCAGATGCCCACATGATCTACTATACCAGGAATAACGAATTGAAGAAAAATGGCATGGAATTTATCACCACAAAGATGTTTCAAGATCTGTCTTGAAGTGCAATGCTGTCAGTGATAAGATAATATCCATACACCCACAAGGAAAGCCAGTTAATACGACTATGATTCAAATTTCTGCACCAACCACCAAAGCCAAAAATGAGGAAATTGAAGATTTTTTATCAACTTCTGCAGTCTGAAATTGACCAAACATGCAATCAAGGTGTGCTGATTATCATTGGTGATTGGAATACAAAAGTTGGAAACAAAGAAGAATCACCAGTAAGTGTAAAATTTGGCCTTGGAGATAGAAATAATTCTGGAGATTGCAGGATAGAATTTTGCAAGACCAATGACATTCATTGCAAATACCATTTTTCAACAACACAAATGGTGGCTATACA